AGGCTGATAAATGACAAAAGTAAAGAAGCAACAATATTTCAATGATCACGGTTTAAATTACATACAGAAAAAAGGAGTTTTTGTGTTTTAGTTTGTTTTTGGCGTGAACAGAGTTCACCGGAGAATGCTGAGTTTTATCTAAAGTTGAGCTATGAGAGCTTTTGTGAGATATTTACATGTTTTGCAGAGTTTTATCTACAGTTGAGCTTTTAGCTTGCGTGAGTTATTTACATTTTTTGTCGCGGCTCGGGCTGTATCCGACAGTTGTTTTTTTGTTTTTTAGAAAGAGATTTTGAGTTTAAATTAGTTTGCTACCTCGATAAAATAGAAGCCAAGAGTGCCTTTTGTTACAAGTGTGGAAAGTGATCACTTCTAGACTTGGATGACAAAAGTTTAAAGAACAACATAAGTTATATTCGCTTAACAAAGTAATCTTGAAAGTTATTCTTCTGTATCTTTCTGCCTGTGCATGTGTGCGTCGCACTATCTGCTGCCGTTGTCAGGGAAACGGCCCCCTCCTTCGCTGCTCTGGCTCTGAATCAGAGCAAAGCTACTGTTTTAGGATTTAGGCTTTTCATAGTTTTTATTCCGTTAAATTTGCTAAATTTGCATTTGAACATTGTGTTAGACACAGTTAAACGTTTTTAAACACCATTAGTGAATACGTTTTGAATATTATATGTTTTTTGAAACCCAAATATTAGTGCTAAAAGCTGTGCAATTCTTTTTAGACCTAACATATTTCTAGATTCCATTCTTTTAAATCTGCTCCTTATTTTGTGAGTCCATTGTTGTATCTCTGATATATTCCATAGCTGTTTGTGAGAATTTTTTTTATGTTTTTATTTTAGTTACAAAAGCCGTTTTTCAAACATTTAAATTAGAATCTGTGTTAAAAGTGATTATTGATTATAGACTTCGTCTAAAAAGAAAGAGGGAAAATTAGCATTAGGCTGTAAAAGTATTATTAAGTTAAACTACCCAATTCACCCATTGCAAGCGGTGACGTTTTTGTTTTGACTATGCACCTGACCTTCCTCCTGCTGCAGATGCACGCAGCACAGGAGCCTGGTCTAAAATGTGCTCCAATTCATACTGACTTCATTTGAAAAATGCTGCAATTATTTTCAATTAGTAAAATAAATGATGAGATAAATGTTCATGGATAATTAATCACACAGTACAAAAGTATATAATACATATATTAAAGTTTAAAAAGGTTTTTTTAGATTTGAGTCTTGTTTTTTTATATTAAGAGTTTCTGGTTTTAAAAATGTCATCATTAGTAAGATAATAAGTAATCTTTTATTTACATAGCGCTTGGGAAAACCCAGAGCGCTCCAAAATTGTTTTGACTTCAGGGAGAAAAACAATCTCATTCGCATACTGATATCTATTGTTTTTTTAAATTGGCCGTCTCAAGGATTGTTTTTCAGACTCTGCCTCACTGTACGAGAGGTCACTGCTGGACACTGGACACCAAAGCCCACCCAGCCACAGGTCACAGATCAAAGAGCAAAGGGAAATGCCACCTCCTTGCCCCTCCCCCCACTACAGAAGTAAGTGGGAGTGAGACCGGGGCCATGAAAGAGAGGTGTCTGGAGACGTGATGGTGGAGCGTCAGGGAGAGACCTGAATGAGAGTTGAAAGTGTGTCCAGTTGGTTTACATCACCACAGTGTGACCTTTGAGACCTGCAGGTGGTTCGAGGAGTCTGGAGACACAACCCCAAAATTCACATACACACACACACACACACATACATTCATACACACACACATTCACATTTACATATAGATACATGAAAAAGCAGAACATGAGAAAAAAGCATTTTAAAAGTTTACTCCAATGTAAACACATTTTTTATTGTCTATCACTTGAATCTTTATTTGAATCAGTATTTTTTGAGACCAGAAATGTTCATTTGAATTCTATATTGTCATGGACATAATTGACCTCTGTCCTGACACTTTTGATTTGTTGATTTTGTACTGTGTGAAGTAATTACAGTGATGAGGATTAGATCTGATAAAAACACAAATTAGAGAAGTAAACTGCGCTTGCTTTTTGTCTGAGGGACATTAGCAACAGCATGAATAGAAATTGTGTTAAAGTAGAATCAAAGTGACTAACCATAGAAAGTAACTATTGCATAACAAGCTGTGTACAGGAACTGAGACACTGCACCATTGACCAGAAGTGCATCGCAAATGACCTGATGTGCTTCAACTGAAAAGACTGTATCTGGAGATCCGATGTCCAACTGGAGAGACCAGAACCATGGCTTGGACCCTACTGATGTCCAAGATGACATCTCTATATGACCTGACCTGATGACGACTGAGACTCACCCTCAGGGGACCCTGAGGACCTGAGGATCTGAGGACCTGAGAGAGAAAAACTGGGGAGTGATGTTTATATTTTTGAAATCATACATTGATGAGTGCTAAATGAGAGAGATACTCATGATTTCTTCTTTTGTTTTTGTTTGTCCCTAGCTTCTGGACATCTGATGATCTATTGGACACAGACATTTGCAGAACAAGAACCAGCCAATGAAAACGTCTATTGCCGATGTATTGCTACAACCGGAACCTGTGACAAATGCAATATACATGTTAAGTATTCAGACATCTGACAGACAAAAACTTTGAAAATGATAAAGTATGAGTATTGTAGAATTTTAGTAGATGTTAAATAGTAGTAAAAGAGTAGAATTGTCCTTCCTTTGTTGTTCATAAACACATTTCCACGCAAGAGTTAAAATAGTACCCTACAATGTTATCCTTTTGATAGATCAGCTAAAATATTAGAATCAGAGTTATGTTACAGCCATTTAAAGTGACAGAAGTCACAAATTAGGAATATGCCTTGGCTCAAGCTGCAGCCGAGCTTTAGAGCCACAATAGTGTAGAAATAGAAATACAGTAGATAAATGCATCAACCATAGATGCTTTCAAAAATAGTGATTATTTGTAGCCAGTGCTAATATCAAATGGTAAAGGGACCATTTCACAAGCATTTACTCCAAAAGTAGATAAAGTTACTTACAGTTTATGTACAGTTTTATTAGATACTTGCCAAATTCACTTGTGTTCAAACATCTGTGAATGTTGACAATACAAAAAGTCCATATGAGTGTAGTCTAGATTAATGCCTAGATTAATGAGATAGATTACAACCAACAGAGATTCAAAAGCATTTAAAAGCATTTTTATGTATTTTTGTATAGCACAAAAACAGTATAGTAGATATTTAGATATTGAGAAGTTTCCAGCACAAATACCATTGTAGAATAACTGACCCCAACCCCAAACCTGCTAAAATAGATTAGCTCTTGTAAGGATAATACTAATTTGATTAATGATGTACATTCATCCCAAACTGCCTGACAATAATATCTTTAGATAATAAAAAGTAATAAATCACTGACCACTATAGAAGTGTAAATGTTAACCATTTGCCTTACTGTAAAAGGCAGCAAAATCCCACTAATAATATGCCACTGATAATTAGAGTGTAAACCACAGAACAGAGAGATTTATTAGATTAAAATGTATGTTTAAGAATATGGCTCAATAGAAGCAAATATGAAAACATATTTGTAAATAGATTAGAATAGTTTTAAACTATAGTGAATAGTAAAAGTAAAGTACACAGTCTAAGATTAAAAAGTGAAAATAATACAGTGAAATAAGTGAAGTGTAGTGTAAACAATTAGCATTAGAATAAAAGTATAGAGTAATTAAAGTGAAATTAGCTTCTAATTTGAGACTCAGCTCGTTTTTGTCTGTGTTTTGACTGAATCTGCTGAGTTCTTGTGTGTCCAATAGTGTTTGTTTGTTTTTTATTTTTGATTTGTTTTTTGTTTGTTTATTTACTTTATTTTTGTTTTTTTGTTTTTTCCCAGGATAGAGGATAAAATCCACTGATATTGATTTTGATGATTATGAGTAATGCATACATTTTCTTTGTTTTTTAATAATTTTTAAAAGTTTTTTTTTAGAATTTTTTTTTTTCTTTTTCCACTTTATTGATTGATCAAATTGAATGATCACATGTGATTATGTGATCAAAGGGGAGGGTGTTAGTATTAGATAGCAATATGGCCTACGTGCAGGACTGTACAAGGACTCTACAAGGACTCCATGTTATGACTATGATTTGACTGTCTCTTTGTGACACGTATGTCTTTCGATGTGTGACGTGACAATGACTATATAAACTGTGTACTGCCTTTATTCTGTCTGAGAGAAAGAAACAGAGTAAACCAGTGGAACTTGAGAGAAACTTAAATAAACTTCCAGAGTTTGGCACACCACGATCCGTCTCTGTCTGTTAAATCCTGACAGTGTTTTTAGCTGCGTATAAAGTTTGCAGTCTCTGTATAAAGCCACGCTATTAAATGACGACAGAAGAAGCCATGTCCACCACTGTATGAAACACCACCGACTCTTAACATTACTCCACCTGTCATATTACACACTGCGTTTTTGTTTCCTCCAAGCATGTTTACAGGCTGTGCTGCTAGCTAAGCGGCTTCCTCAGTGTGGAGAGACACAAGCGAGGGGAGTGGCCAAGGGGAAGCAAGCAGGCGGGGGAGCGCAGCACAAAAAAGGCAGATGAGCAAAGTGAAATATAAACATTATATTTATATATATATGTCAAAATTCATATTAAGCTTAAAGAATATCTCGATATATAGTAAATATTAATATATTGGCCACGCCTATCTGGAAGAAAGCTTTTCCAGGGGCCAGAAGAGTCAGTGATTATTCTCAGAGCTGGTTTTAAGTCTGGATTTATAAAGAGCCTCCAAAACAGGCAGCTCAGTCCTCTTTCAGAGCGAAGCACAGTGTTTAGAAATTTTCTTTCTTTAACTTTGTGATGTTGTCAAACCACAGTCACAAAACCAACAAGCAAAACATTTAATTAGAATTAGAAGCTTTCTTAAGAAACTGATTAGTGTTTCAAGTGTTTTTCTTTTCCACGGGTCCCGGCTCACCTGTAGGTCTCGTAGACATCCTGTTTGGGCAGGCACGTGTCTGAGTGCTCTTCCAGGTGGCTGCGGATCCAGTTGCAGGTGTGCTGCTGCTCTGTGGTGTTCACGGAGCCACACTCCGCGCTGTAAAAACCATGCAGCCAGCTGAGACAGAAACAGGGGCTTATTATGTGTGCGGGAAGGCTGTATACAGATGGACAAGGCTAACCCGCTCATGCTAACTATAGACTGTATACAGTTGGACAAGGCTAACAGGCTCATAGAAACTATAGACTGTATAAAAGCCCCGGTGATCCAAGATGGCACCCTATTCAAATAAATGGCTTGTGCTCAGGGGACATACACGGGGACCACGAGATTAGCGGAACTCGCCCATATTTGGGCATTGTCTGGTCCTCCCTTTTTTGCGCAGTGGACGAGCTCCCATGATGCTTTACGGCAAATACGTGTGAGCTGCTGATCAGGAGTTAGAGCGGAGCCAGAGCGGGAAAAACGAGCAAAGTTTGTTGCATTAAAGTGTGGATTTAAAGAAAATTGAAGGATTTAAGAAGAAAAGAGTTCATGATGACAAGGGACACAAAAATCTGATCTTTATGAAAGCTGTAGGTTCTGTCACCTGAGGTCGAGCTGTTTTAGTTTACATTGAGTTCTATGGGGAACATTTCTTGGTAGCCCCCGTGAATTTAGTCTGCAGTACCACGGGCGCCTCCTGTGCCCATGGGTGGGACAGCTATAAGCTAGTAATACCCTATCCAGATATTATTATAGATCCATGACTGTATACAGATGGACAAGGCTAACCTGCTAGCTCAATGAAGCCCAATAGGGAAGCGCTCATGAAAGTAAACTCCTCTAGCTCAGTAACTGCATGTGTCACACTCATCATTTTGGGCTTTAAAAATCTGTGGTTGGCGCTCTCTGTGATCCTGGTGTTATAATTGTGATATTGTCTTCCATTGTCTATTGTAAATGCAGATATGAGCCATGAAAACTGTCCGATCAGGAGCCTTCATTCATGGGGGAATCTCCAGCTTTCCTTAGCAACAAGTCTGTCCCGTTACGATGCAAAACTAATGCAGTCAGGAACAAATGCCTTCCATATAAGGAAATCGGCTTCTTCTGTCACACTGTCAGTCCACTCCTAATATACACTTTATGGTATACCGTTTATACTTTCTATTTTGTGCGCACGCACACACACACCCACACACACACACACCCACACACCTCTTGTCCGTGCAGCCGGGACCCGAGGGCAGCTGGAGGTACAGGTACAGTTTGTCATTATCGGAGAAGCGCTGGACTTCCGTCTGCAACACACCACAGCTGTAGTCAACAAAAGGCTACAAATACTCAAATATACACAAACACAGTGTGTGTGTCTCACACAAAGAGACACACAGTCACACGTACACACACACAGGTCACACTCACATACATTTTGACACACACAAGAACACTCACTAAGATTTGCTCCACTTTGCTCTGCACTTGTTTCCTGAAACAAACAGAGGACACATCATACATCCTGCAGGCTCCGCTCAGACCACAGACAAAACATTAGCAGAAGTAACTTGTTATGGTCGGCTCTGGTTGTGAGCGTTCTGACCAATCAGACCGGAATGTCCTCACTTTGCTCTCATGCTCAAGCACAGAGGGACATTTGAGACCAGAGAGAGACCAGGGAGAGATCAGAGAGAGACCAGAGAGAGACGAGAGAGAGAGACCAGGAAGAGATCAGAGAGAGAGACCAGGGAAAGAAAGATCAGTGACCAGAGAGCAAGAGCAAGTAGAGTTTATGGCACTAAATTATGGACTTGCATAATTAAAATGTGGAATAAATAAGATGACAAGGGACACTAAAATCCTCACAAAATCCTCCTTTGTGAAAGTTGTAGTTCTCTGTCTCTGAGGACAAACTGTTTTAGGGAACACTGAGGGCTGTGGGGAAATCTCCTTACAGCCATGTGGATTTAGGCTGCAGTAGCGCAGGTGGCCTCTAGTCCATGTGGGGCCAAGTTAGAAGAATCTAAGGGCCACATAATGGCCCTTATTTATGAAACTTGCGTACGGCCAAATCAGGGTGTAAATGAGCAGTAAATGAATATACTCCAACTCTGGAGGTGGTGTACATTTTACACCCATCTCAACCTTCATCTCAACACGCAAATAAAACACATGAAATTCAAGATTTGGACAACAATAAACATATTCCCGCTCTGGCAAGGTTATAGGCACACCTCTCAATTTACAAATATGCAATTTTACAAAGTTATGTTAGGGCTAGTTTGTGTTATAAAATAACGTGCAAGATGTCAAACTCAAAAGTCTCCCACAAATGTGTGGATTATATGTGTAGCACATATCAGTGCGCAACGGCAACTGGTTCATGCAGGTCCAAGCAAAGACGCGCACAACTGTAGAGTGCTGCGCGGGTCTGATCAGAGGAAAATGGCTCTGGGACATGTAGGGGGTACGCTCTTGTACCTCCTGGTACAAATGTGCCACATGGTCCTGGCTCGGTTCTCCACAACAGGCACAGGACCATGGTGTGCCATTGCACTGGTGGAGCAGCCGATTGATGAGAGACCATGGCCAGCACCGCCTTTGGCCTGTACAGCTCAGACAGGCTCTCATTCAACCATTTTAAAATAATAATCACATACATAATTTGAAGATTATTTTATTTTATTTTATTTTGGATGCTTTGGTCTGGCGGTCCTCCCCCTGGGCTGCTGAGCACTTATTCTATGGGCTGCTAAATGCCTTTTTGTTACCATTTTAGGTCGCTCCATTTTTTTTCACATGTAGGCATAAATTAATACATTCTAACTATTGGCCCAATGTATTTGTTAACTGTTTGACATAATATAGCGTATATTTCTTCAAACATGAATAAACTCACCTCTTCAGGCCCCACGCTGTTTATCATCTCTTTCCATATTTTCTTTTTTGTGCCCCTTGATCCCACTTTTGAGGATTCCAAATAGTAAGACTTTATTTTTTTTCCACTTTGTTCATAATGGTCTCAATCTCCTACTCCGTGAAGTTTTTTTTCTTTCAGTTTCCTCTAGATTGACGTAAAAACAGGGCGTGAAACAGGCAGTTGCAGCATATTTTTAGGCGTGACTTTGATAAATACGTTTGTCTTTAGCCGCGTCATTTATCAACAGCAGCAGCTGCGTATGCTCAGATCTGGGCGAATCTCGCACGTTCATAAATCCCGTGTTGGCTTGTGCGTATTTGGAATATACCCCCAAGATATACACCCTTTTCTGCGCAAGTTTCATAAATGAGGGCCAATATGATACATTAGTGCTTACGATACGTTGCTCTTGAGCTTCTGCAGCAGCAGGCTGGGCTCAGTGTCACCCTCTGGTGGCTCCAGCCCCACCGTTGCGTCTCCATGGAGACCGCTCTCCTCCGACATGTCCACGATCACATCTGCGGACAGTAGAAGTTATTTAAACAGACAAAGCCCCCTCTGAACCTTTTGACTTGCATGCTCCATCCTGATGGCCCTGAAACCAGTAGGTCAGAGGTCAGAGGATGGCTCTGGTCTAGCTTCCTGCTGCCAAACCCTGCAGACCAAAAAAAAACCTCAAATAGAAATAATATTTCTGTCCTCAGTGTGCTATGACCTTTCACACACACCCTCACAGCTGGCCTTGAAGCCCCTGGGGCAAACCCAAAGAACAGCTGTAAGGATTTTAACAGGCACTATACTCTAACTAAAACACATAGCTGACATGGAGAAAACAGCAGTGGGACTGTCCTAGGTGTAAGTGAATCGATTATTGAAACAGTTGAGTTTTGACCCTGAAAGATTTAGATAACGACTGGAGCTTGTCTTGGGCAATGTAGATAAAATCCCATATTTACTGAACATTAGGATCTAAATAATATTATTAATACATATCAGTTACATGGTGTTTTTCCATGATACCCGAAGATGCTACAGGTGACGTCACCGATGTATGAATTCAATGTGAAAACCCCTTCAATTTAAAGGGTTTGAAATAGTACTTAGTCAATATTATTATGGTGGTAAATAGGCGTATAGCGTTCACAAAGCCATGTTTCAGGCAAAATGGGAATGGTAACTTTAATTTAATGAATCGATTCCGATAGTCAATACTATAATGTGTTTTATTATCAACTACCTCCATTCTCCATCTATGCAGTGGCAGATAAAGCTCAAATTAAAATATGGTGATATAACAGTGTTCTCTCTGCTTCAATGTGTATGGATCAGAGACTGTATATGGATGCGCTCTGCTCTACCCTGTTTCTGCCCCGCATGTGTCCCGCATGTGTCCGGAGTGAGGTCCTCCCTGAGCCCGTGTGATTACATGTGCTTCCACCCCACACGGAGCTGTCACAACAAAGCCCGGCTAAAGTGAGCTAAAACGGGCTAGCGAGAGCTAACAGCCGGCCCATGCCAGCACAGCAGCCTGCACACGCCCACCTCTCCCCGAGCCAGCCCACAGCACCTCCCCGCGCTCTGAGCTCAGTGTGGCCGCTGTCAGAGCTGAGTGTGTCGCTGTCATCACGGAGGTAGCTTAGCATATTAGCCTAGCCTGTTAGCTCAGCCGCTGCTAGCCACTCTCTGGGGCCGCTTCTAACGCCTCCTTTCTCGGCAGCTTGGGCGCAGACTCGGCCCTCTCGTGTGGGACCGGCTCTGCTTTATTACCGCGTGGCCGCTTTTGTGAGTCATATTGTTGTAATTGATTTATAAAATAAAAAGAAAGTACCTGAGCCAAGATGGAGCAAAAATCCCCTTCAGATCTTTTTGTGATTGGACGGCTTTGTCATGTCTGCCTGACGACGGAGCCACGCCGCGTGGTGATTGGCCAGCTGTCATGGTGCCGGTATGTGGGAATTATTGTGATTGGCTGCCCACCGCTGGTCTGCCCAGTGACAGCGCAGCAGCCTTTAGTCTGCCTAGCAACAGCCTGACAACGCGAAGTGAAAGCACGTAGAGCTGCGCCGCCTTTGTTCCGAGGGCTGGCATACATTCACGCACTTATTTAAACGTATCCACTCTGGGGCACGAGACACACTCGCAGAATATTAGAAGTATATTAATTTTGAAGGAATTATGTGACAAACGTAATCAAGGATTCATCGGTAACCTTAATGTGTGGAGATTTTAGGTTCTTTTATAGTTTATGTAGGTAAACTTTGTGAAATGGGCTATATGCACGGTCAGCACTAGATCATAAATGGAATCGGGACGGAAGCAGAAGTAAATACAACAAACTACCTATTCATGCCTAACTTAACCAGCCATTCCCATAAAATAACCCCGACCCACCCTTAACCCTAACCATCTTACTCAGACACCTAAAATACAATACAATACAATACAATTTATTCTTGTATAGCCCTAGGTCACAACAGAAGTCATCTCAGAGGACTTAACAAAACCATTGAAATCACCAACACAGGTCAGAGAATCAACAGTTAAAACACATGAAGAATATAAAGCACACACAGAAGAAAATGTCCATACATGTTGTAGAATGCTAAAGTGTCCTGATCATCACCAATCCTTTCTGTTGGACACTAACTGTCCAACAAGACCCTCCTGCATCGACAAGGAACAACTCTTAAAAAACCCAGTGGGAAAAAGTGAGAAACCTTGGGGAGAACTAGGGAAACCCACAGGGAGGGAGACCCATTTGAGAAAGGGATCCGCTCCTCCGGAGCTAAAACTTAAGTCACCACTTAAGGACTTATTAGTCTAAAACTAATTCAAAAGTAGGATTGTTACTTCCGGTTTTGTCCCGATTCCGCATATGATCTAGTGCCGACCCTATATGCACAGGGAGGCGTGACGTCATTTCCTGTTACCAAAGCACAGCCCGTTCACCTCCTGCCTATGCTATCACTATGGCTTTTAGGTGAGTTGTAGTGATGTTTTTTAGTAATTAGACTGATACATTCAGCTGTGAGACTGACTCAAAAGTGTCGCTGTGCTTTCTCTCTGAGGTAGAGCTTTGATTGAGCCCACTCAGAGAGATTAGTTAACTTTATAAAAACACAATGACAGCACAATCAAAGAGCACTGCTGTGTCCCAAAAATGCCCAGTATCCTCAGTTTAATTCCAGTTTGAGCATTATTTAGGAAACCGGTGTAAACCACTGCTGAACTCCAGTGAAACTCAAGCCATTCCCCTCGCACAGGAAGTGAAGTGGGGTTGTAACTAAAACGCGGAAGTGGTGTGTGCATAGAGCCTATAGGAATATGCTTATTCTACATATTTTCTTCATGAAAGGAGGACCGAGATTCAGAGTTAAAATCCCAAATTGTATTTACCCTAGAAGTGTATGCTAATTTTTATTATGCCTTACTCTATTCTTTACCTCTCTTCTTTGACTGTTGCACTGAGCCAAAGCAATTTCCAACTCTGCGACTTCCTGTTACTTACGTGGCAATAAAAATAATTCTGATTCTGATTATAGTAAATACCGAATTAAACAAATCAGGAAACTCCTACCCCCTTTTCTCTAAAGAGTCTAGAACTTCACCTGCCCATGCAACTTTTAAAACACACAATGAAGTCTGTTTCGGCCAGTTCACTTACTATGCCTCTCTAGCCTATTCTTACTGGTAATTTACATGGAAGGCGTTAAAGCACTTAAGAGTTGTACTCGCGTAACATTTTTCCATTTTAACCTATGGTGATATTTACACAAGTAGTGTTATGCACAGGAAAGGTGGACATATTGACCAGTGGGGCGGGTCCGAGCTCCAAAAGGTCCATGAGCACTTGCGCTGACATGCTTGCAGTACCAATCCGGGCCGGTGGGCCCGGAGAAGAATTACCCAATGCTTTTGTACTCTTCTCGTCAAATGAATGGGGCTAGTGCCGGCATAGTTTCACCCTTTCCTGCCCCATTACGCCCATTTTGAAGAAGCCAACAGTGGTGGCACATTGTTTTGAATGGCGGAGATAGGCGTTACTACGTCTGTTAATATTTACAATCTATGGTATTGATGCAAGGCTGCGCCTAAATTAGAATGTATTTCTAATTTTGCTCATGCCACACCCAGTCTCTCCCAGTCAAAACACATTGGTTTTTTCTAGCGGTCCTTGGCTCTAGATCAGCTCCCCACACCCACACACACCCCCACACAGTGATTCTGGACATTGTTTTTTGTAAATTCCTTGTGATGTCTCCTAGTCTTCATCACGTTTCAAAGAAAGGAGTAGTTTCACTGATTAATTATGAAGCAAATTGTTAATAAACTGGTTAGATACAAGTAGATTGATAAGATTGTAATAATGAGATGTGTTTTTGTGAAGCATCAGTCTGGTGCCAAATCCAGTTTGAAAAGCCTTAAAAGTAGATTCCTTCTGCAGCAAACAAAATGAAACCATCTGAATCCTGACAGTTTAATTTCATTGTACAAAAACAGAACATTAGAAAGAAGAGCATGGTGTGACGTTTCCACTGCCGCTTCACTCGAATCCACTGGAGAAGAACAGATTAAAGTTATTTAAATAATTTATATTTATAATGTCTGTAAACGTGCAGTCTTTACCTGACCAAGTGTGCAATGTCCCAGTTTGTCTCCGAGGACAGAGGGCCAACGATCTCCACTCCGTCTGCGCTGACTGTGGCGATTTCATACTGAGGAAAATATACTGTGTGATCACAGGATCAAAGGCTGGGTCTACTGTAAACACACGTGATCCATAGACTGTATACAGATGGACAATGCTAACACCAACTCAATGAAGCCCAAAAGGGAAGTGATCATGGTGAAGTTTGGCTCCAATAAGTTCACCATTCACCAAAAATCTGGTTTAGTGCTCTGTGATCCTGGTGTTCATATTGTGATATTGTCTTTGTAAATCCAGATATAAGCCATATGAGATTCAGAAAATGAAGGTTCACAGGTTCATACGGTCATTGACAGACAAAGATTTATTCAAATTTAAATTTGGTTTCACAATTACACATTTCTCAATGAGTGATAGATGCAGGCAAGTAACTGGTTCATTTCACTTGAAGTAGGGGAAACAGCTGTGGCCAGCCTTGATGGTTTCCAGATCCAGACCCCAGAGAGACTGGAAAATATGGCCACATCAAAGTAGGACTCGTAGAGCAACAGGGCCACACCGCAGCACTACAACATTAACATTAGTGGCTATAGATTACGGATATTAAAGTGAATGAGCGAAAGCTGCTGCTAGGAGCAGCAGAAGACTGGTGCAACAGATGTGTTGCCTTAGCAACACATCTGCCCGACAAGATGTTTGCGCTGCGAAACAAATGCTATTTCTAAATCATGGTGCATCACAAAGCGAGATTCTAGTGCATCGACCGATTATCAGACATTGATATTTTCAATGCTTTTAGGTAACAACCCATTTGGATTTTTAGGATCCAATATAATTTAGATTCTGCTACAGATTTTAAAGATCATGAGTGTTACAGTGGAGGTGAGGGAGAGGCTTACCCGGTTGTAGGAGCGTGCGTCTCTATAGTACAGCACTTTAAGGCAACGTTCAATCAGCTCACGGGCTTCAGCTTTGGACAAATCTGTTTTCTTCTCCACCACCTCCCTCATCAGCGGCTGGAGAGAAGAGGAGGGGAAAGGGGGCAAGAGTGGAGAGGGGAGAAAAACCTTTAACATCTTATAACAATTAAGCTTTTCAGTTTTAACACCCAAATTGAATACAGTTTTGCTCCTTTGGTTTGTTTACCCCTTGTGCTACCCTTGAATAAAAATGATCCAATCACAGATTAAATGTACTGTATTTTCCACACCTTTCCAGACTCTTAAATAATCTGGTGCGGTTTTTGAGCTGTGCTCAAAAACATTTGTCTTCTTTTGACTGAGTAAAAAAATTGTCACTGTTCTTAATCTTCCAGTGTGCAGAAAGGTAAGGAGCAACATCTACTGGTCTTTTCTATTCCATGTCATATACAGAGAACCAAAAGCCTATTCATAACTGTAGAAGAATAATACCCTAATTTAGGGTGCTAAATGACCCTAAACTGACACTAGGAGGCTCACCTGTGCAAGGTACGCTCCGAAGCCCGTGGCCACAGTGGGCGCCTCATAAGCCACGCCCAGTTTGTCCACGTATCCTAGGAAACTGGAGAGGGACATCATCATACACAAAACATCACAGTCTCCCTGGTCTCCCTCCCCCCAAATCCATGTCTCCCCGTCTCTCAACCCTCCTCCGACCTAAATTTCCACTGCAGGTTCTGGTCAGGATTCGAACCCAGAACCTTCTTGCTGAGAGGCAAGAGTGCTACCCACTCAGCCACCGTGCCGCCCAATGTCACCCATCTACCTGCTCTCCTCCCTCTCTCCCGTCTCCCTTTTCTCGCTCTTCCCCCTCTCACCCTTCTCCCTGCTCGTATCCTCCCAGCACCACAGTATTCCACAGTGGGTTCATGCGGCTGCGGCGGTTGTACATGACGCGTGTAAGCCACGAGTGCACGGCTTTAGGAGAGTATGAGTGTCCGTCTCCCAGCAACTCCTCGTCAATCCTACACACAGAGACACATGAATACAAAGACACGATTACAGACACACAAAGAGACATAATCACAGAGAAACATGATCACAGAGACAGACAAACGATCAGAGTGCAATATTCATAATAATATAATAATAATTAATAATCTTGGGCTGATAGCGATGTTTAACATAACTTGGGCGATGGCCGATGTTTTCTTTTTGTTATGTACAGTACAGACCCAAAGTTTGGACACACTTTGTCATTCAATGAGTGCCCTTTCTTTTCATGACTATTGAATGGGCAGGTTGTAGTTTGGCGATGGTGAAGAATGCCATAGTAAAGTATTCCGGTCTGGTTCTATACAAAAATTGAATCCGGAGCAAGAGGAATGTATAGCAAAAGTCATTGCTGGCTAAGATTGTGGTGCTACGATTGAGGCTCTGATAGCGGCAAAGGAGATGGCTAGGCTAAATGCCAACAACTCACTCGAGCGCATTACATACACCACGGTAAACTCAGATCCAATCGTTTCAATCTGCAAAAGGAAGTACCTTGTGGTTGTGCTGGAGGTGGCTCTTCAACGTAGCGACTATTTTTCGGCATGACTTGCAAATAACTTGTTTCTGTGATTGGTCCTATCTTACTGCCTACCATCAGCAAATGTCATTTGCCGATAATGTTAACAAGGCATGTTCAGCCGATGCATCCCTAACAGAATCACAGTTTAAGTCTCTTACACCATCTGCTCGATGACCTGCTTCAGATACTGATAGTCGGCGTAGTCTCCAGACGCTCCAAGGATTGTGCTGTTGTTCACCTAAAACACCAGAAACCAGTGAAAACACATACACACAATGAAATGCTACAGAGACTTTACATACTAATATACAGTGGGGCAAAAAAATATTTTTTCAGCCACCAATTGTGCAAGTTCTTCCACTTAAAAAAATGAGAGGCCTGTAATTTTCATCATAGGTATACCTCAGCTATGAGAGACAGATTGAGGAAAAAACAAAAAAAAATTGTAAATACATTTATTTAAAAATTATGGTGGATAATAAGTATTTGGTCACCTAGAAGCGAGCAAGATTTATGGCCCTCACAGACCTCTAACTCCTTTAACCCTTTAGGCGCCGGAGTTTAAGAAAATATACTATTTTGATTTCAAGATTTCAAAAGGCTATAACTTTAAAATGGTTTGAGAAAAAGGCATACTGTAAATTAGAAATATCTTCAGTTTGAACCAAACTTTGGGATGGAAGTTGATTCGTCATCTAATTTGCATATTGTGACGTCATCAAGGTGGCGGCCATATTGGAAAATGTAAATTATTGTATAAAGATTTCAAAAAGCTGTAGCTTGGGAGTTTTTTTAGATCAGGGAATACTAACAGCACTAAATGAAAATACGAGTGAACTATTTATGGGAATGATAAACTTTGAGAATGCATCGTATTCTACTGTAGATGAACTGTTTAACTCTGTCACCTCTAGTGTTTTGAATGTTCTGGATACCGTTGCCCCTGTGAAGGTTAAAATAGTGAAAAATAAGCAGAAGGCGGCGTGGGCTAAAGCAGACTCGGTCAGGGCACAAAAGAGAAAGTGCCGGAGGGCCGAGCGGAGGTGGCGCAAGTCCAACCTCCAGGTTGATTACGAGATCTTCAAAGATAAGTTGTGCGAGTTTAACCGGGTGCTACGTAGTACGAGAGAAAGGTATTTTTCTGAAATGATTGAAGGCTGCAGCAACAATCTGCGTGTTCTGTTCTCAACAGTTAATAGATTAACAAACCCCCCTGTTCAGATGCCATTAGAGCTTACTTCCAAACGTAAATGCGATGAGTTTGCTAATTTTTTCAATGACAAGGTTCAAGGCATCAAAAACGCCATTGTCTCCAATCCACAGATAACCATCCAACAACCAGAAAGGCTCTTTGAGCTAACTCACTTTGCATCTGTAAATGATAAAACTGTCCAAGAGATAATCTCCAGTTTGAGCTCCTCCACATGCAGCCTGGATGTACTACCCACTAGATTTCTGAAGTCTGTTCTGAGCAGTCTGTTACCTTCACTCACACAGATAGTAAACATGTCCCTTCATTCTGGAATATTCCCAAAGGCCCTGAAAACTGCAGTCATCATGCCCCTGCTAAAAAAGAGCAGTCTCGATGCTACGGTACTTAACAACTATCGTCCCATCTCAAATCTACCATTTATGGGGAAAGTCCTTGAAAAAGTTGTCTACCTACAGCTAAATAGATTTCTTATAACCAACAACTCATTTGATATGTTTCAGTCCGGCTTTAGACCCCACCACAGCACTGAGACTGCTCTCGTCAAGGTTACAAACGATATCCGGCTGAGCACTGCCGCAGGCAAAGTTTCAGTCACCTACAGTCTCTCTCCCTAAAATCTTCAAACAAGGTCAGAAATCTAGGGGTAATACTGGACTCAGACTTAAATTTTAATAGCCACATCAAATCAGTAACATCAGCAGCTTTTTACCATCTAAAAAACATTTCCAGGATCAAAAACATAGTGTCTAAAGCAGACCTGGAGATTCTTATCCATGCATTTGTCTCCAGTAGGTTAGACTACTGCAATGGCCTGCTCACAGGTCTGTCCAAACAGGCTGTAAAACAGCTGCAGTACATTCAAAATGCAGCAGCTCGAGTCCTGACAAGAACCAGGAAGTACGACCACATTAGTCCAGTCCTCAGGTCTCTGCACTGGCTTCCTGTGGCTCAGAGAATAGACTTTAAAACAGCTCTGCTTGTGTACAAGTCTCTCCATGACCTCGCACCAAAATATATTAGTGACATGTTAGTCCCATATGAACCAGCCCGGACTCTGAGGAGCACAGGGACTGGACTCCTGTTAGTGCCCAGAGTCAGAACTAAACATGGGGAGGCTGCTTTTCAGATTCATGCTGCTAAAATCTGGAACAGTCTTCCTGAAGATGTGAGACAAGCCTCCTCTCTGACCATGTTTAAAACCAGGTTAAAGACAGTTCTGTTTAGCTGTGCTACAACTGAGGGATTTTATATTTGTATCTTTCTTTTTAATGTTCTGTGATTATTTATGATTTTAATGCTTTCTTGTTTTGTTCAGCACTTTGAATTGCCTTGTGTATGAATTGTGCTATATAAATAAACTTGCCTTGCCTTGCCTAAATGTGAAATATCTTTAGTATGAAATGAATTTGGGATAGAAATAAATTCCCTGATCCAGAATATACATAATGTTTTAGCACTGGTTCGCATCCATATGGAATTTTATTATTTTCAAAGACCTTCAGTGATGAAGACAGCACTCTTTATAGTTTACAGTCATGAAATCTGGAGACTGGTTTTAATATTTTCCTTTCAAAGAAGTAGTGGGCATACTATTTTTCTCAGTGGAAATGAGGCTCCAGGATTTATTGTGTAGAAACTGAGAGATTAAATGAATGGGCTTAGAATTTGTCAGATCGTCTCAACAAGAAACAACAGGCTCTTCAACACTTCTGATCCACTTTTGTGGATTATTTTCTCTCAAGAACTGCCTTGATCCTCATCATCGCTGTTGGTACACAACCCCTGGTGAAAAGTATTAACAAGATTTTGCACCACATTTTTAGATACAGCCTGTTTAAGTAAGCAATGTTGCTTGTCGCAATATTGCGACTTTGGCGCTTAAAGGGTTAAAGGGCTCCTCTGTCCTCCACTTGTTACCTGTATTAATCGCAACTGTTAGAACTCGTTATCAGTATCTGTCCACAACCTCAAACTTTCACACTAAACTACACTATGGCCAAGACCAAAGAGCTGTCGAAGGAGTCACACAAACAAAATTGTAGACTTGCACCAGGCTCCAAAGATGAATCTGCAACCCTTTGTCATTTTTACAGCTGCTCCATATGAAAAGACATGTTAACTAATAACAAATGTGACCTACAGTATATAAGAATATTTACCTCCACCATGTTTTTTTGAATTGTATTCATAGGCTTCAAATTTAACTTATAAACGTCCATGAGAGTGCTCTCCGTATCAATGCGCCATCTTGGAAAACAGTGGTGGATAAGGGACAAAAATGATGCGAGAATCCGTTTGTTTCACATGAGCTTCTGATATCGTTGCTTTCACCGTGCCTTCACAAGTTGGAAGAAGGAACCATGAAGGACCACAATTATGTAAAAGAACAATCCAAACAACAATCTTATAGAAAAATAATTATGCAAAAGTCCGGCGTCATAGCAGCCAAGTGTCAACATCGCAAACCACACGCACCGAAAGACAGCGTCAACACAACAGGAGGCACATCGTGGAGTTTGTACACAACAGACTCACACAAACAATACGCAATTTTTCTCACACTGACAATGAGAACGAGGCAGAATCAACAGTCTCAGGATGTTTTGACCCGATCCGAGTGCAGTCCAACTACTATCACAAGTTTAAACTTATTCAGGGACATGCCTCAAATAAAAAACACAGAATCCCCACAAAACAATCGGCAGAATACTTTATCAGCAGCGTGAGTGAATGTTCTGTTTTCTTACCGTGATGCAGATAAGGTGCTGTGGCTAACGCTAACATGAGCTTTTAGCTATGTCCTGCCGCGGCTCTGTACATCTCCTGCTTTTTTTATCTTAGTTTTTAAGCTCCCACAGATGTTAATCCTCCATGCGTCTCTTCTCTTCACACCGCGTTTGTAAAACTACATATTATAATAGATCCATGATAAACCTCAGCAGCCTCTGTGCAGCGGATGTTTTCATGTCGCCTCAATGAGACTGTCAAGTGCCCGAGACGTTTGGAGAGATCTGGTCATTTATCAAACTTAAGTATTCTTTCCTTGGCAGTCTGAATTACTGAGAGTTGAGGAACACTGTCAAAGTCAGTGCTCCGTAGTGCCTTGGACAGCGATATAAGATCTCAACACTAGATGGTACTAGAAATTACAGTGTACCTTTAAGAACAAATTTGTTCGTAAGTCCTACTAAAGAGGATTTTACGAAGATTGTGGCATTCATGAATTGTTCTCTTACCCAATATTTCTCTTAAGAACAAAGTCTACAAACATTCAGGGGCACACTTAAGCACATTCAGTGCTGACATGCTGGTGTTGTCTACTTTTGTTAAATTCAATAAAACACATTATAGTGATGTGTCATATTGATGTATGTATTTATTCATTGTATTTTTTTAATTCATTTTTAAATTAAATGTCCCAACGATTTATCAAATACATTGGTAATCATGTAGTTTATTAGTGACCCCTGTTTATAGGGTGCATTTCTCCATCTACGGGCCACAGAACAATGGCATATATACTGCTGCTGCAGGAGGTCTCTGCGCTGCTCTCTCCCATGGATCTATTACGGGGCCGCACTGGTCTCTCCAGTCTCTATATGGTCTCTCCTCGAGTCTGCATTGGTCTCAACACTGGTCCATGCTGGATCTCCTCCCAAGGTCTAAAATATGTTGAGATTGATGACATTTTGAGATACATTTTTATAATATTTTTAGATTAATCTCATATTTTTTATCTGAATTTTGCTAGTTCAACTTTATTCCCATAATATTTTGACTTCAAAGTCAAAATATTAGGACTTTAATCTCAGTCTGGCAAAAGAAAACAAAGGACCCTTTTGCTCCGTGTAACTCTTTGCTTTAGGCATGTTGCCGTTTCCTCTGAGTAGCGTCTGCACACGGCCCTGCAGTCCCTTATATGGCCATTAATGGGCAGTTACCTATGCTAAGTACCTATGCTAATGACTCACCTGGCACGCGCGCTTTACTTCCGAGGAAATGGAATTCCTCAATCTAAGAGAACAGCTGCAAACAATTCAGCGGCTACTGAAGAATGACTAGAGAAGAAATTTAAGAAGATTCTTAAGATATTGGTGAATGAGGCCCAATGTCCTACTAAACAGTTTTATGAAAATGTGTAGAAGAAGAGGAAGTGCCACCGAAGACGTCATTTTCACTCCATGTATGGTAAAACCAGACAGCATGGTCTGGTCTCAACTCCTGCCCGTTGATATAAATACTCCCTCTCTGAAAAGAACACTCCAAAGCAATCTATTGTTTTGCTCTAAACTCATTGATCTCAGGCTAATACAAAAACACATATAAAAAACACTTTGATGAACCATTTGAAATTAAATATAGAATTTCACAATTTGATAAATGTTGGTACGTGAATGAAAACATTCCACTTTTTTATTATACATAATATCCTGCATTTAACATGTTTGCACATTTCTTTCTTTTTGCACAATCTTGAGTGTTTCTATCCATGCCAGATGTGACATGTAAATTTCTCCTTTGTGAGATCAATAAAGTATATCTTATCTTGTGTTCTATCAACTGTGTGCTGTATTTAAAATCTACAACAGGCTCAACGCAAGATCTCACCCCGTGGGGTCAAAATGATCACAAGAACAGTGAGCAAAAATCCCAGAACCACACGGGGGGGCCTAGTGAATGACCTGCAAAAAGCTGGGACCAAAGTAACAAAAGGCTACCATCAATAACACAGTACAACTCAAATCCTGCAGTGCCAGACGTGTCCCCTGCTTAAGCCAGTGCATGTCCAGGCCCGTCTGAAGTTTGCTAGAGAGCATTTGGCTGATCCAGAAGAGGATTGGGAGAATGTCATGTCAGATGAAACCAAAATAGAACTTTTTGGTTAAAACTCAACTAGTCATGTTTGGAGGAGAAAGATTGCAGAGTTGCATCCAAAGAACACCATACCTACTGTGAAGCATGGGGGTGGAAACATGGACAATTCCTGAGGCTTTATAATCAAGCTGTTTCTTGCAGCAGTGTATGTATTGCATGCACAGATTACGCAAAGACATGCTCTCAACAAGCAGAGAAGGGTTCTGTGTACATTATGACCACGTTACGGCCGCGAGCTCAACGCATTGTTGTCAAAGCGGCTCACAGACCACTGGATATGGGAACCGCTGTCATTACAAAGCGGTCGCAGCTTCTCGGGTCAGAACGCCGCAGGTTCGAGTACATACAACAAACAGCAAGTGTTCCGCGGTCAAGTTGAAATTCTCATCCTTGTGATATTATCTGGTTTGAGCTATTTTCTGTGTTTTTGGTGCCAGTTAGACCATCTAATTTGTACATTACTTTATATAAAAATGGGGCAAGATGGGAAAGATTTTTTTTCCTTCATTCTATAATAATTATCATGAAATGTATTGCTGTTGTGCTTGCAGTTTGTTGTTTTGTCACGTTACCATGATTTTTTTTTATATATATATATATATAATTACAAAAATGAATCGATAAAACTACTGTTGACATACCTCATCCACGCAACAGCCCAGGAATCTATGCGTTTGTTATTGACTAGGGATGTAAATCGGTGACCGTTTAACCGGTGGTTGACCGTCACAGCGTTAACCGGTCAAAGCTGTCGGTTAAAAAAGAGAAAAGGGGGAGAGGGGAGGTCTCTTCATAACGCTATTTTAAGCCCTATTTGCACAATGTGACGAGCGGGTCCCTATCTAGCTGTGTGCGCCAATGTAACAGTAAACTCTGGGCCGACTCTAACGCCGTACGCGCCACATATGCACACACACATGTACACGCACACACACATTTTCCCCCCCTCCATTGACACGTAACATCCACACGCATCATCTCTCCCCTCTATTACCGCCTGCTAGTTGCACACTGGTGCGGGTCAGAACTACATTGGAGCTTATATTTACACACACATACATACATGTATTGCACACACACACAGACATATACACACATACATACATGTATTGTACACACACACATACCGGTCTGTCGCGCTCCTCTGTGTCACGGAGCCCAAAGCATTCTTGCAAATACACGGCTCCAGTCAAACCACATGGACCATGTTTGTGCTGCTGGTCCTTATCAGCTCCACACTGATCACTTTTAAACTTTAGCGGAGACCTGCGAGACGCGGCTCGTCACTCGCTGCTCTGACCATGTGAACGAGCTGTCTTTTGCTTAAAAATGCTTTAAGCCGCAGCACAGAAGAATGGGAAGATTAAAACAGCAGTTCTCTGTGCGCAAAAGTGCCGAAGCGGTTGCGGGTTTTGGTGCCGCTGTCTCGGCTCTGATCCCGTAGAACGCTCAGCTGCACTCATGAAAAGTACGCGGCTCGAAATGGCTGTTATTTCAAAGAACGTGGACTATTTTAAACTACGCGGTTAACCGGTTTCAACCGGTTAATGAGGCTCGGTGGTCGGTCATGAAAATTCATAGTTTTTTACATCCCTATTATTGACCACTCGTCTATTTTTCAACACAAGTCTGGACACCCCCCATTCTCTCCCACTGACCTTCATGAGGCGGGAGATGTTCCGGAATCGGGCCAGAGATCCGTAAGACCCCAACATGTCTGCTGCGATCATCACGCCACCGTTAAACTTCACCCCCAGGACGGATGTTCCGGTCACCATGGGGTTCCTGCACAGAGAGCCAGTTAAATCCTCTCTGCAAACCTTTCACAAAAAAGCATGGGCTCAGAGAAAGCGCGCCCCAGCTGTATTTTACTATGTTTGCATGACTTTTGACAGCTCCGCAGCGCTCAGACCTACAACAAATAGGTTTGATATCTCTATCACTCTTCAGCAGCCGTGAGTTTAGGTGGTTAGGAAAGAGTATGAAGTGTGTGTGAGGGGTTTTAGAGCCATAAATCATGCAGAGAGGTTTTCGGTTATTGCGGGTATGTTTTAGAAAGTAACCTCCAAGATAAACGAGGCATAGAATTCAACATTTACATTTGTGACTATCGAGTTTTGTTTCTTGTGATTCTTCTTGCCATATTTAATTAAGTATTAAGCAGTTTCTTCATATGACCTGAGCCGTGGAACATAAACATATTATTCTTCGTAAACAGTATTATTATGATTGCTACTCCTGGAGTTAGCATTAGCATTAGCATGACTCCACTCTTCCATGGAATGATGATGCAGCAGCGTCTGTCTATAAGCCGTTCAAACCTCTCCCTCCGAGGGGTAAACTCACAGCGTGTGACGCACAGGTCCACAGGCCGTTCCGCCCGCGACATCTCCGCTGCTGTTTCCGGGGAAAGAATAAAACTGCCCTGGCTTCGGTCCGTGCTCCCAGAAACTCAGCTTCATCCCGCACGACTCCATCTTGTATCTGACCGGAAGAGAACCCAGGAGCCGGAACATCTCTTCTTCTTCTTCTTCTTCGTGTGCGTTTTCGGCAGGCTAGACGCCGCTAGGCGTATTGCTGCCTTCCACAGTCAGTCAGTGGAACTGCATCAAGGAAAAATCTTCACATGAAGATTAGTGGAAGAAATAAACTCCATCACAGCAGCAATGATCTCACGCCGATTTATTTGTGGATTGAGCAGGGTCTTCAATGACACACTGTCAACCCCCGTTCCCAGCACAACTTTAAACATTTGGCATCGCTCCTGCTTGTAGCATACACACTCCATTAGTACATGACGAACAGTCTCTTCTTTCCCGCCGCACTCACAAGTCCATTTGGTCTCTTTCCCATAAGAACAAGATCTGGGGCAAACCCACAGTGTCCCAGTCTGAGTCTTGTATATATTACTTGCTCCCTTCTGCTCTTTCCCCAGGTGATGTCTACCCCCCTGACACTGCTCTGAACCAAATAAAAATGCCTCCCCCTTTCCTCTACATCCCAAGCACTCTGCCATCTGCGCCCAATCTCCTGTCCTATCATTACACAGAGCTCGGTGTATCCCAACGTTGTTATAACAGTAACATTCTCCAAATTCAAGGCTTTCTTCGCAATAGAGTCTGCACTTTCATTTCCAGCAACTCCCACATGAGCCGGCACCCACATGAAGGCTACTGAAATGCCTATCGCCTCAGCTCTATACAGAGCCATAAGAATTTCCGAAATTATGTCCTGTCTTGCGTGGGACACTCCTGCTTGCAGCGCCATCAGAGCAGCTGCAGAGTCTGTACAGATGAACGCTTGCTGAGGACAAATCTTACCTACCCACTCCAACGCACCCAGAATCGCTATTGTTTCTGTGGTAAAAACTGACACCCCATCTGGGAGCCGATGTCCCCGACTTACACCAACCTCAGGAATGTGGACAGCAAAAGCTGCCTTCTTGCTGCCAGGGTCAACAGAACCATCTGTGTAAAACTGCAAGGACCCACCCCAATTTTCATCAATAGTTTCCGTTACCACCCCGACTGGGTTACTTCTACCCTTCTGCTTGAACTTATCCCTCACAGCCCAATCTATCTCTGGATCTGGAAGCAACCATGGAGGGACACTCGGCCAGACAACCCTGGGAGACATGTCATTGCCCCAATTAGGAAACTCTCTTCTCACTTCTTTTACTAAACTCTCTCTTCTTCTTTTATGAGCAGGCAGCCAGCTAGCCTCCAGCAATCCCTTCACAGGATTCCCTTGGTCTTGGCTCTGTACCCTCCCAATATACTGAAGGGCTAACTTCACACGTCTCAATTCAAGGGGCATCTCACCACACTCCACTAATAAGGCTGGGATAGATGTGGTCCTAAAAGCCCCACAGCACACCCGCAACGCTTTCGCCTGCACCACATCCAGCCTCGCTAAAATTGTCTTAGCCGCACTCCCATACGCCAAGCACCCATAGTCAATGCTTGATCGCACCATTGCCCTGTAGATCATCAGTTGAGTTCCCTTGTCTGCACCCCAACTACTACCCGCAAGGCACCGCAATATATTAATAATTTTCCCACATTTTGCAACAATCTTATCAACATGGGATCTCCAGGTCAACCTCTCGTCAAAGTGCACACCTAAAAATTTAAACACTTTGACCCTTTCAAGCACTCTGCCATACATACTCAGTCCCAACTGGCCTACTTTACGCTTATTTCCAAATATAACATATTTACTTTTATCTACTGAAATTTTAAAACCCCACTTTCCTGCCCATTCAGTAACCCTATCCAGCGCGACTTGTAACTTCCTCATTATAAAACTAACATTTCGCCCTCTTTTCCACATTGCCCCATCATCTGCAAATAGAGATAGACCACACCTATCTCCAACATTAGAAAAAATATCATTGATCATTACATTAAAAAGTACAGGACTTATTACACTGCCTTGTGGCGTACCATTATCAATTCCCACTACCTCTGACAACTCATCTCCAACTCTAACCTGAATTTTAATCCAATTCAACATTCTCCCTCGAATCCCTGCATCATACAGTTTAATGATGAGCCCTTCTCTCCACAGCATGTCGTAAGCTTTCTCAATATCTAGAAATACAGCCACAACAGCCTCCTTGTTATCTATTGCTTTCCGAACATCTGACTCTAGCACCAGAACCGAGTCCATTGTGCTTCTTCCCAGCCTAAATCCATTTTGAATGTTTGTAAACCAACCCTCTTTCTCTAATTTATACACTAATCTGTCTGTTACCATTCTTTCCATAATCTTGCACAACACTGCTGTTAATGCAATTGGCCTATATGACCCGGGATTTTTGGCCTCTTTCCCTGGCTTTAGGATTGGTACCACCACAGCCTGTTTCCATGCTGAAGGCAATACCCCCTCTTCCCACACATTATTAATAAGTGCCAACACTTCATGCAATACCAAATCATCAACATGCTTAAAAACTTCGTACATCAGCCCATCCTTACCTGGTGCTGTTTTACCACCTCTACTTATTGCCTTCTGCAATTCATTGAGTGAAAAGTACAAATTACCTGGATCAGAGTTGTCATCGTTAACTTCCAGTTTATACTCTTGACTGTTCAGGGTTCCATTTCTCTCCCTAATCCCCTTCTCTCCTATATTATTGCCACAGTGGACCTCCTGGAACTTCTTTACAAGTAAACTTGCCTTCTGGATGTTGCTTAAGGCTTCCACCCCTCCATCTTCAAGAACAGGAATAGCTCTACGCCTGCAGACACCTGCCATACGATGCACCGCTGACCAAACCTCCACTGCTGATGTCTCCACTCCTAATCCCCTACAATACTTCCTCCAACAATCCCTCTTGGCTACCTTTATTGTTCTACGTGCAACAGCCCTCAACTTTTTATATTCTATAGAGTTCTGTTCTGACGGAAACTTCTTAAATTGCTTATACGCCTTCTTCCTTGCCCTAATAGCATATGTACATGCCTTATTCCACCAGGGCACACTTACCCTATTCCTCCCTCCAGCCTTACAGGGTATACACTGACCCATATTATGCGCAATTTCGCTACACAAACTGTCATTCCACTCCTCCAAAGAGTCATCATTTACCTTATCTAAATCCCTATTACACCCCTGAGCAAACTCAGTCCACTTAGCTCGACTAAAATCTAAAGCTTTTGGCCTGACCAACGCATCTGTGATTAAAGACCTACCAAATCTCACTAATATAGGAAAGTGATCACTCCCTAATGAACAACTATCCAGACAGTCCCATTCCCCTAAAGCAGCCAACTCACTCGAGGCCAGGGCCACGTCTATACATGAAACCCCTCCCGTTCTCACATCAAACCTTGTGGGCCTGCCATCATTCATACAAATTAGTCCATTCCTATCAATAAAATCCTCAACCTCCTCCCCATTATGGTCACGAGACCAGCTGCCCCACAACGGGTTATGGGCATTAAAATCTCCTACCCACACCAACGGTGTTCCTACCCCCTGAAATACGTCACCTAAAGTGTCAGAATTAAGGTGCAAACATGGATTATAAAAATTCACAACATTAATTTTCCCCTGTGTACCCCAAACCCTCACTGCCATACACTCCAACCGAGTGTTAAGTGATAGTCTCTGATATTGCACATTCTCCCGAATAAAGATTACACACCCGCCTCCAGCTTTATCAGCACGATCAAGCCGCTCACTCACATATCCAGGCACCACAAAATCCAGGCAAGGTTTTAACCATGACTCCTGAATGCAAATTAATTCTGGTTTGTGAATAAAATCTTCTAAGTACCTTTTAAGTTCCTGTCCATTTGCAATGAGGCTTCGCGCATTCCATTGCAATACGTAAAACATTTAACCTACTGAGGAGCTTTCTCCACTCTGACTGGCCCCTCCTCCTTGTGATCCTCTACGTGCGTGCGCAAGATTCAAATGCTCTGGGGACACTTCCGTACCCAAAAACCTACCTGCCTCTTTTGCAATCATTGCCTTTATACCAGATGGCGTGTCCACCTGTCTTGCTGCCCATAAGACTTCCACTAAAAAGGCAAAGTACGCCACCTTACGCACCACAAAACAATCATCCGAGACTTGACCACCTGACTGGTTTAACCTTTCACTTTGAGCCTTCTGCCCCTCCTGGCCTGTCTCTTTGACTCTCTTGACAGCCTCAGCATAGGAGATATTCTCAGTCTTTTTAATTGTCTCCACTTCTTGGGCTTTGACATGTACCCCACATCCCCTGTACGCCGCCACATGGTTGCCCCCACAATTACAGCACTTCACTGTTTGTGCACTCTGAATAATCATGACCGCCACCGCACTTTCCACACCTTTTCTCCCCTCTACACACTGCAGCGACATGCCCAAATCTCTGACATTTATAGCAACGCAAAGGCGGGCGCACATATGGTTTAACCTGAAATGCCATAAACCCAAGAGTAACTCTCTGCGGCATGACCTCTTCTCCAAACAAAATGAGCACAGCAGTGCTGTCCCTCTCTTCTCCCTGTCTCCTGGTTTTGAACCTCTTTACTCCCAAAACTTCCCCCCCTTTCAGGTTTTTAAAAATGTCATCTTCTGAGACATCTGTGTCAATATAAACGACCCCTTTCGCTCCCTGGTCAGAAAGTAGATTTGACCCTGGCACCAAGCCTTGTACAGCCCGTTTATCCAGCTCCTTTATCAGGAGTGCCTTCTTCCTCTGGGCTTCGGTTTTACACAATAAGAACACATTCCCATTAGACAAGATTTTGGCATGCAAGATTTCTCCAATTTTGTCACGAATCTCTGAGGATAGCCTAAGAGGGTTGGGGACTTTTCTCAATTCGTCTTTAAATTTAAGGATTATTTTAAAGCCTTCATCATCATGCTCAGCCCGCCTCACCATTTTGGCTACTTCTCTCTCACGGCTCCCACTACTACCTGACCTGGTTCGTTTTCCCCCCTCTTTCCCTCCACCCCCCGAACCACCCCCTTTAAGTCTTCCCATGCAGCAGGAGAGACACCACCAGAAAAAGTGCAGTACTTTAAAGTCAATGTGCCACAGGAAAAGTACAAAAGGAGCCAAATTAAAGTTGGCGCCAGTTTAATTTCACCAGCCGGAGACCGTCAACCGCTCAACCCGCCTGTCACTCCGAATCGTGCGACACGCACGTAGCAGCCACTGCACGAGCCAGCCGTCAATCGAGCGACCCTGAGTCTACCTCCCAACAGAATGTCAAATGGCCCATGCCACATCTAAACTTCTCCCCGGAACATCTCTTCTTCTTCTTCTTCATTTATTTCCGGCAGGCTGTACACTATAGAAGTGTAATGCTGCCCTCTTCCGTTCAGGTTGATACTACATTATTACACTCGTTGGTACAAACTGGTGGAGAGAAGGAAGGATACAATTGCTTTGTCGATCAAACGCGAATTCTTTACCGAGGAAAATATAGATTTTATTGAAAATACTGCTAATCCAAGATCTGACAGCTGCTTGTACATAATCTGCCTTTCTGTTGAGTATAGAGCGCAAAACAATAACACATGAGGCACCGTTTCAGGTTGACCACACTGACATAATCCATCACGATGCTTGCCAATGATCTTCAAATATGCTCCTAGCCCACAATGCCCCAGCCTCAATCTAACAATCTTTACCTGATTTGCCCGGCTAGATATCCACACAGGCCTAATATTTTGCACCAGAGGCTGAGAATTAAAATAATAAATCCCCCTTTTCTCTTTCTCCCACACTTTTTGCCACTGTTTTTGCACAAGACTTTTTATGATACTTATACACTCTAATTTTCCCAAACAGATTTTATACTCTATTTCCTCACACCGAAGAGACTGCTTAGCCAGTGTATCAGCTCTCTCATTCCCAACTATACCTAAATGAGATTAGCCTGACTCTCGCCAGACCCATGTAGTTCCCTGCACTTCACACATGAGTCTAGTATTGAGCCATAGTGGTTGGATTTCAGAAGGCAGGGCCTTGTAAAAAAAAATCCTTGTATGTGATTGGATAGACCACTTGTCCGTTATCTCCACAAGAGATCCGTAGACCACAAGCAGCGTTTCCGTCGAATTGTTATTCACGCGGGTGGTAATGACGTTCGGCGGAAACAGTCCGAGGTGTTGAAGCTGCAAGTCGCCGCCGTGTGCAAGCTGGCTAGCACAATGGCCGACACTGTCATCTTCTCTGGGCCCCTACCTAGCACTAGCAGTGCAGAAGCATTCAGCAGACACTCGGCTTTCAACCGCTGGCTGTCTGGCTGGTGCCCTCGAAGTGGTGTTGTTCATGTTGACAATTGGAGTGCCTTTTGGGGAAAGCCCGGTCTCATCCGCTCGGATGATATCCACCCAACGTTGGCGGGTACATCCCTTTTGGCTAAGAATTTGGCCCTGGCTCTAAACTGTTCTGCTCGGCTCAAATGACGATGCAGAACTGAGGCCCGGGTGCAGAGCTGCTCTGCCACAACCTCTGAGCCCCCATCTGTTCAGTTACTAGCCTCAGAGGCTAGTCAGATTGAAACTGTGTGTGCATGTGTGTGTGTGCCTGTGTGTGCTCAGTTACTAGCCTCAGAACCTAGTCAGATTGAAACTGTGTGTGTTCCCCGCTTGAAGTCTAAAGCACTATATGCGAGGAAATCTGACCTAGGTGTCAGACACAGTAACTTAATAAAAGTTCAGACAGACAGAAATAGTTCTAGCGGTAGGGTTGTTAAATGTGGTTTAATGAACGTCAGATCAATCTCGTCTAAATCGCTTCTCATAAACGAACTTATTATAGACAAGGGCTTGGATTTGTTTGCGCTCTCGGAGACTTGGCTCCAACAGGACGACTACGTTAGATTGAATGAGTGCACTCCTCCGACGCATGTTAACTACCAGAAAGCCAGAGCTACAGGTCGCGGCGGTGGTGTTGCGATTATATCACACACCAACTTGGTTCTTAGTCCCAAAACCAACAACGCTTTTCACTCGTTTGAAAACTTAACACTTTCAATCACCTGTCCTGGGTGGAGAAAACAAAAAGCAGTACTATTTATAGTTTTATACCGACCTCCTGGTCCTTACAGCGAGTTCCTAACAGAATTCTCTGACTTCATTTCAAACCTAGTTTTGGAATGGGAAAACATAGTTATAGCTGGAGACTTCAATATACATGTGGACGACAGCACTGACAGCTTAAACAAAGCTTTCAGCGCCGTACTAGATGGTGTTGGTTTTACTCAGAATGTCGAGGAACCTACTCACATTCATAACCACACCTTGGACCTTGTCCTGACCTACGGCTGTGATGTCTCCAATGTTGACATCCAGCGTCAAAGCTCGTTGCTGTCTGACCATTTCTTGATCACGTTTGATCTCGCTTTGGAGGACTTTCCTGTCCCGCAAGATAAAACCATAATGAAAAGAACCTTAAATGATAAATCTATCACAAGGTTCAAAGAACTAATACAGCCTATGTTGAATACTGCTGCAGGTGAACCTGTTCACAGCAGCTGCAGTCCCTCAGTCATTGACCAAACGGTGGGCAACACTATGGAGTCTTTAAAATCTGCATTAAATGCAGCAGCTCCTTTAAAACAAAAAACCATTAGGATTAGATCATCGTCGCCCTGGTACAGTGTTCAACTCCACACTTTAAAACAGGACGTCAGAAAATTGGAGAGGCTATATCGCCACTCCCACTCGGAGCCTGTCCACAGGGAGTGGAAAGCAGGTCTCCGAAACTACAAGAAGGCCCTTCGCGGGGCTCGAACTCAATACTATTCAACTTTAATAGAAGCGAATAAAAACAACAGTAGATTTTTGTTTGGCACCGTCGCTAAACTCACAAACTGCCATAGCGCAATCGAGCCTAAAATTCCAAGCTCACTGAGCAGTGTCGACTTTCTCCACTTCTTTAATAATAAAATTAAATCCATCCGTGACAAGCTGGAGGAGGTTGCTCCTGCTGTTAGTGGTGGACAGGTTGAAGCGGCATACGTGACTTCCCACTTAGACTCTTCAGTGGGCCTTAATAAATTCATGGCTGTGAGCCAAGCAGAGGTGATCTCTGTGGTCACATCCTCAAAAGCCTCAACTTGCATGTTAGACGCAGTCCCGACATGGCTCTTCAAAGACATACTTCCTTTGATAATTGAGCCTATCGTAAATATAATAAACGCATCCATACAATGTGGCTATGTCCCACAAGCTTTTAAAACCGCGGTAATCAAACCCCTTCTGAAGAAAACAAACCTGGACCCAGAAATACTTACAAACTACAGACCGATCTCAAACCTCACTTTTATATCTAAAATCCTGGAAAAACTTATAGCTGAGCAGCTCCGCTGCCACCTGCAGGAAAATGATATGTTTGAAGTCTTTCAATCAGGATTCAGAGCTCATCATAGCACTGAAACGGCACTAGTCAAAGTCACAAATGACTTACTACTAGCTGCCGATAATGGACAAGTGTCAGTGCTGGTCCTACTGGACCTTAGTGCGGCATTTGACACAATAGACCACAGCATTCTACTGCAGAGGCTAGAATGTGATATAGGTCTTAGAGGAACAGCCCTTGGCTGGTTTAAATCCTATTTATCAGATCGATATTACTTCGTCAATGTGAATCAGGACTCGTCGCCTTATTCTGGAGTGGAATTCGGTGTGCCGCAGGGTTCGGTACTCGGACCGATTCTTTTTACTCTCTACATGCTGCCACTGGGAAACATTATTAAAAAGCATGGAATTAATTTCCACTGCTATGCAGATGACACACAGCTTTATCTGTCGATGAAGCCTAACCAGACAGATCAGCTAGAAAAGCTCAGTGCCTGCATAAAGGACCTTAAAATGTGGATGACTCTTAACTTCCTACTTCTCAACCCGGAGAAGACAGAAGTGATCCTACTCGGTCCAAAGCGCCTGCGTGACTCCCTCACTAACCAGATGGTTACTCTCGATAATGTCAGTATAATACCCAGTGGCACTGTGGGGAATCTTGGAGTCATTTTTGACCAAGAACTCTCCTTCAAGGCTTATATGGGCCAAGCAACTAAAACGGCGTACTTCCACTTACGGAACATCGCTAAAATTAGGAATTTCCTTCCTAAAAGTGACGCGGAAAAACTCATTCACGCGTTTGTCACCTCAAGGCTCGACTACTGTAACGCTTTACTGGCAGCGTGCCCTAAAGCCTCTTTGAAGAGCTTCCAGCTCGTTCAGAATACAGCAGCTAGGATCTTAACAGGTACCAAAAGGAGGGAGCACATAACTCCGGTGTTAAAATCACTCCACTGGCTCCCTGTGGAGTACAGAATAAAGTTTAAAATCCTACTCTTAACATATAAAGCCATAAATGGCTTGGCTCCCTCTTATCTCCAAGACACGTTAGTGTCGTATCAACCAGGTCGAGCGTTGCGCTCACAAAACGCCAGACGTCTGGTGGTCCCTAAGGTCTCAAAGGTCACTGTTGGTGGCAGAGCATTTAGCTACCAAGCTCCTTTACTGTGGAATCAGCTTCCCATTTATGTTAAGGAAGCAGATACGGTCTCCACATTCAAGGCCAGGCTTAAAGCACTTTACTTTAATTTAGCATATAATTAGGTAATATATAATATGTAGTGTATATATATTATATATATATGCTGTATTATGTTATATATTATGTTATATATTATTCAATAATGTATTGTGTTATGTTGTATATTATGTTATATATTATGCTGTATGTTATTCTTTATTCAAGGCTAGGTTTAAAACAGTCCTCTTTAGTTTAGCATATGGCTAGGAAGGTAAGACTCGGAGAAGGTTAAACTCCTCAGAGTGTTAGTCAAGCTGCATAGGGAGTCAGTTTGCTGGGAGAAGTATGGTAACTTGAGCACTATCCTCTCCTCCTTCCTACTTTATCTGTTTAGCATTTTTAGGATTCTGACTGTAGTTTGTTCATTGCTATTCACCCGTTGTCCCATTGTCTGTTTCATGGTACGATGACGGGATCTCTGAGCCTGG